CTTATCATAATTGTAAACATTGTTAATCATCTAATAAAAAGCCCTCAGCCATAGAGGTTACCTTAACACTGAAAAAAAAAAATATAATCAAATGCTTCAATATTAAAAGCTTGTAATTTGATTTAGTGATCAATTTAGTATATAGTTATATGATTTGGTGATAATTATTGGCAGTAGCAATTAGAAAAGTTCTAATAATTATTACAATATAACTAATAATATTTTTTAAATATAATAAGATTTCTTAATTATTTACAGTATATAGTTATACTTTTAATTTGTAAAATTTAATTACTATATTTAAATTAGCTTAAATAGTATACTATATTAAAAAATTACAAAAATAAAATTTAAAAAAATTTTTTTTTAAAAAACTTTATAAGTTTAAAATTAAATTTTTGTAGTTAAACCAGAGTATTTATCTAATTTTTGTATAAAAATTATTTAAATAAAGTATATAATTTTTTAAATTTTTTAAAATTTTAAAAAATATACTATAGTATTAGTAGTACAAAAGGTAACCATTAATTATATATTAAAAGTATTATTTTGTAAAATAACTAGAATTTATTTTAAATAAAATATATATATCTTGTGTAAAAATAATTGTTAGCACATTTATTAAGTAAAAAATGAAACCTTGCAATATTGAACCTAAAAATTTTGATTGGCTAACGGCCGAGGATCTTCAAAATTTTGGCCCGCATTATACAATTGTTTATTAATTTCCGGCTGGAATTAACTTTTTAATTTTTTCATTACAAAAATATAAATTTTTAAAAAATATGGTAAAATTGGCCCAGTAACAATTGTCATTTAATGGACGGCTGCGATTTCATTAGTAAAATTATAAGTAATTCCAGCCTAATTTTTTGATTGTCTCTTTTAGCCAATCAAAATCGAGGATCTGCCGCATTTTTTGTGCGGGCAAATCAAAGATGGATGCAATATCTCGTGACAATAAATTACGGGATAAATTTCAGTCGATCGAGATCGGAAAAAAAAATTTTTTTTTATAGAAAAAAAAAACATGCATTCAAAAAGAAAAACTCGACATTTGAAAACACATAATGTAGTCAAATCCTCATCCACAAAACCAAAATCTTCATGCAAACCCGGAAAATCAAATAATCATAGCTTGCAAATTTCATCCGCGCTGTCTCCGGCCATTTCTAATTCAAACAAATTAACTACCACCCCTACTAAAAATCATCAATCGATTAAAAAACCATCGCCTAAAATGTCGCAAGTTCTTTTAGGGTTTCCAGATGGGAATGTAGTCCTTGAAGAGGATATTGACCCATATTCAAGTAAAATAGGTGGTATTCCAAATTGGTTAATCAAATCTTTTCCACCTCCACATGATTTTATAATTTGTAAAAATTGTGAGAAAAAAATGTTTTTATTGTTCCAAGGT